TGTTCTTACAATGAATTATGTATTTGAATTTAATTATTTGAATGCCCTGCAAATAATTTACATAGCCCCAATAGTTAACATACGAATTAGCTTTAAAGTCACTAAATAATTAGGATAGCTGTTTATTGATTGCTGCACAGCAGTCATAATGAATAAAGATGTGTTTTCCCTTTTAAGCATGCATATCTAACACTAATTCAAAAACATTGGAAGAGGTATTTATTACTGTAACTACTGTTTCTTACAGTTAATGTATTAGAAGCAGAAAGTTCAACTCAGGATGGTTTGGGGCTTGGAAAACTTGGAGGACAAGCAGAAAAAAATAGAAAACTGCAAAAAAAGTAAGTTTCAGTATATTAAGGAAACTTACATATTTACCAGGCTTTTCATAATTAAGAAATATCTACAGTTTTTATGTTGTACCTGTATTATTAAACTTTTAAGAATACTTATGAATGCAGAATATGTAATATGGGTTTTAGACTTTAAATCTGTGTGCCTATTGTATCTATTTTTCATTATTCTGTATCATGACTTGTGGCATTTTATTGAGAAGAATAGTAAGTTACTATCATAAACATTTATATAGGTGAGTTTCTCAAAGATAACTTGAAACTTCAGTAGATCAAGAAAATAGAGACCTATAAGCTACATGATGGAAGCAAATTGCACACATTTTATAAATATAACTCTGACTTAATTTTGTTTCTCAATGGAATTCAGGACGCAGCTTCAAACTCTTAAAATGGCCTTGCTCCCAGATACTTTAGGGAATATCTTCTCTCTAAAATTAATCCAGTGATAAGGTTCTGGTATGAGTTTTGCTACCAAGGAAAGTAAAATTGTCATTTAGAAGTAATAGTTCAGTTTTGTGCAATTCACAAGATACAATGTCTTAATTCTGTTAGAAGGAATAATAGCATTTCTCTACCATTCTTTCCAGATTTTTTTTAAAAAATTATCTCATTTGTTTCTGATGACTGAGTCATCTTGCCAATTAAATAGTGTATCTGGCAGGGTGATGGTAATATTCCATTGGTAATGCAGAACATCAAATCCTATAGCGTTTCAGTTTGAAATATTGGATTGCAATTTAAATTTGGGGGAATGGTAATGTAAAAATGGTGGTTAACTCCTTGAGGGAGGGGAGGAGAAGGTTCACCCTCTCCTCAAGAGGCCATCGCTAGACCCCACCATTCTGGACAATTTTCATCCAGTTTCCAACCTTCCCTTTCTAGGGAAGGTTGTAGAGAAGGTGGTTGTATTGCAGCTGGACCCCTTTCAGTCAGGGTTCAGGCCTGGGTATGAGATTGAGACAGCATTGATTGCACTCTTGGATGACCTCTGGCGGGAGCAGGATGGGGGTGGTGCATCCATCCTTGCTCTTCTTGACCTGTCAGTGGCTTTTGATACCATAAATCATGGTATCCTTCTGGACCAGCTCTGGGAGTTGGAAGTGGGCGGCATGGTGTTGTGCTGGTTCTCCTCCTTCCTCTGGGGTCGGTTCCAGTCAATGTTGATGGGGGGAAGATCCAGCTGGAGGCCCCTCCTTTGTGGGGTGCCTCAGGGCTCAGTACTTTCTCCCCTCCTATTTAACATGTACATGAAACTGCTGGGTGAGGTCATCCAATGGTTTGGTGTGAAATATCAGTGTGCTGATGATACCCAGCTTTACATTTCCACCCTGGGCCGCCTGAGTGATGCCATGGAGGTTCTGTCTCAGTGCCTGGAGGCTTTGGGGGTCTGGATGGGGCACAACAGGCTTCAACTCAACCCAAGTAAGGCTGAGTGGCTCTGGGTTTTTGGACCTCCTGGTTCCAGAGACCTTCCATCTTTGGTTCTGGATGGGGTGGCACTGCCCAGACAGACCTGGTGCACAATCTGGGGGTCCTCCTGGACTCACGGCTACTGCTCAAAGAGCAGGTGGCAGCCGTGGCCAGGAGGGCCTTTGCACAACTCAGAGCTGTGCATCAGTTGTGCCTGTTCTTGAACCAGGGGGCCCTGCTCACAGTCACTCATGCTCTTGTGACCTCTAGATTGGACTACTGCAGTATGCCTTACGTGGGGCTGCCCTTGAAGAGTATTTGGAAGCTTCAACTGATGCAAAATGTGGCAGCACAGGCAGTTACTGGTCCCAGTTACTCAGCACCATGTGACACCACTGCTGCACAAAGTGCATTGGCTTCCATTGTGCTTCTGGGTGTAATTCAAGGTGCTGGTTGTCACTTTTAAAGCCCTTCATGGCTTAGGACCAGGTTACTTATGGGACCATCTCTCCCCTATTATTTCTGCCTGTCCTATCCAATCTGGCAGGAAGGGCACACTCCAAGTACTGTCAGCTAGGGCGTGTCAGTTGGCGGGGCCCAGAAGGAGAGCTTTTTCTGCCATGGCACCCGCCACTGGGAACATCATTCCCTCTGAGATTAGATTGGCCCCATCCCTCTCGGCCTTTCATAAGGCCTTGACTTTGTGCTTGATCCTGGGGCCCTGGGCATGAGTTAAATCCCAGCTCTTGGTTATATGGTGATACAGCCAGAGGTAAGACCATGCCCAGCTGCTATGTGTTTTTATTTTTGTTTTATATTATGTATTTTGTGTTTTTATTTTATTGTAAGCCGTCTAGAGCCACATAAAAGTGAGATGGGCAGTTATATAAACTGAGTAAATAAATAAATAATTCAGATTACATTGTCCAAACTGTAAAGAACAAAATGAGTTCACCTTGTTTGTGAATTCATTTTTTTCTTCACTTATAGTATATTAATTTGTTCTTTAAATCTCAATGAATTCTGGTTTTTTTATCTTAGTTTTACATTTTTATTTCTCTTATTTGCTTTATTACCTTTTAATTTTCCATTTGATGTGGTAATGGAAAGTCAGGGTAAGTTGATTTTAATTTTAAGTTATGCAGATTGCAGAAATATTTTATTTACATAAAAGTAGATTTCCATTATATATTATTCATTAAAGGATCAATAAGCAGGTTACAATCTACAATATCAGTACAGTAAATTCACTTCATAAATAAGTTAAATTCAGATATCAAATGTTAAAGGCTTTAGTTTTTTGTTTTGTTTTTGTTTTGATTTGGGGGATTTTTGTTTTGCCTTTAAAATGTATTTTTTTAATTTGAAAATGTAATTTATCTAAGTATATTCTATATTGCAGCTTAACTGATTGTTCTGGGTTTTTACTGATTTAGTCTGTTCCTTAAATATCAATTGGTGGATATTACAATTCTACCAAAACTCTTTTAGTAAAATTCTGTTGATATCTTTATGGATAATTATTTTTTAATCAATGTTCTATAAAATATCATACTGTACAATTAAATATGTGAATTAAATGAAGCAATTATGCTTACTACCATTTCATTTCAGACTTAGTTCTTGTACTTTTGCTATATGATTTAGAGGATATATCTTCTATTGCTTCACTTCCGGTATATAAGCTTTCACATTGTTTATGAAATAGTAAATATTAGGTGTATGTCTCAGAGATCATGAATGCAATGGTATATTTACAAATTATCTAGGTCAAACTTTGTTCTATATACTACATCAGAAAATATCTGCAAACAACAACTTTTACAATAGCATATGTTCTTTGTATTTCTACCAAATGTTTATACTTCAGAAGTTCATTAATTTACTGTTTAGTAATTATATTCTTTGCTTATCTCTTCTTTCACAGCTGGCCCATTTTTAATAAACAAAACTGTTTGTATAAAGTATGTACATTAATCCATGTATTTATTTCTCCATTTCTCTTAGAAATGTCCATATTATTTAAACATAATTAGGAAACAGTGTGTTAAAATATTATTTCTGTCAAGATCATTCTTTTTTTGAGAGAGATTTTTTCAGTATCACTGCATAGGTTTAATGGAAGCGAATTAAGATTTGTTTTAAATGTCTCATTCAATCTTGATATATATCATAACCTAGGCCTATAGTTTAGTTCAACTGTACTGGCCAAATTTAGCGTGCTAATTTGCACAAAGTATAGAATTACATGAACTTCCCATCAGTATGTTATGTATATTTGTATATAAATGGCCATAATAAAGATTGATTTGATTTCATTTTGTATATAAACTGTTTTTTTAATCCGTTTGATTTTCTTAGGCATGAACTTCTCGAAGAAGCTCGGAGGCAAGGTCTGCCTTTTGCACAATGGGATGGTCCCACTGTGGTTGTCTGGTTAGAGGTAAGAAATCTTTTCAATTTAACATAATACTGCTTTTAGTTTGTAACTTTTAAGTAATTATGTGCCTCTTTTTTTTTTCTTCTTTTGTATTTTTCAGTTGTGGGTTGGGATGCCAGCTTGGTATGTGGCTGCTTGCCGTGCAAATGTGAAAAGTGGTGCTATAATGTCAGCCTTATCTGATACTGAAATACAGCGTGAAATTGGAATCAGCAATCCTTTACATAGGTTAAAACTGAGACTTGCCATACAAGAAATTATGTCACTAACAAGTCCATCTGCTCCTCCTACATCAAGAACGGTAAGAGAACTTGGACAATGACATAAAGAGGTTGATGAGAAAGTCAGGCTTTATAATCATTCACAGTGTTTTGTTATGGATATAAGATATTCTCTTAGATACTCTTGAGAGAAAAAGTAGTGATGCTGTGAAATGTTAAATAGAAAATGACAAGAAATAAGTTGCCTAAACAAGTCTGTAATGGCTTATTACCCTTTTTATTAAACTACTTATAATTTAAAAGCTGACATACCATTTCTCTCTGGTGAGCAAGGCCATTGAAGTGCTTTGGAAGTGAAGTACCAAACAGTCCTCCAATTTAGTTCTAAAGACAGGATTGCACCTTGGTTTGTTTTACTACAATGTTTAGAATGCCTTGCAGGCAAGAGAGGGTGTGTTTATCTTCTTTTCCACAAATCTGTTCCTGAGAATCAGTAGACCTTCTACAGTGATGCAGGGTGATATATGCAGGACAGAAAAAAGAGAGAAATTTAGTAGGCTTTCTTACAAAATTAAAAGTCTCTTTCCTACTCATGCAAGATGTGTGGATTAAGCCACACATCTAATTATGTAGATGTCAGATACTTTACATTTAAGTAATTCCATAAAGCAAATGATACTACAGCTCTATCCAAGTAATTTGCTAGTGAGTGAGGGGCCAGCATTGGTAAATTTCAATTAGATACATTTTATAGTATATTTAGTCTAATATATTTTGTCCATTGCATTTTAATTGCATTTTATTTGTAATGATCACTGTGTGATCAGCATCAGCAAATTCAGTGGGATCTTGATGAAAACTTCAGTGTGGATGTACATCCAGATCTGAATTGGAATTTATTTGGGCTGCATATATGCATCTCCCTTCCTGCAGCTAAGAGCTAGCACAGCTTTCCCTAATCTGATTTCTTCCAAAACTGTTGGATTATAATTTCTGTATTTCCCAGCTAACATTGCCAATAGCCAGGCTGACTGGATATTTTGAAAACAGTAGTTTTAAAACATTTGGAAGACAGGATTTAAGATGACTGTGCCTCTTATGAAAATGGCTGTGGGTGAAGGCTGATTTGAAAGAAAACTGGGAGACAAACAGTTAAAGAATAATTGGATCTTAAAAGCCAACTTCCCAATTTACTGGGGTGGTTAATATATGATGCCAAATCATGGCTTACTGGTACATGACTAAACATTGAATTTGCATGTTCCACTTATTTTCTGATTTGTAATAAAATAAAATAAGTTCTGTTTGTGTTCTACTGGTAAAATGTGATTTGCACTTATTCTTAAAACCAGGATCACAAACCAGCCTGAAAGTGGTTTGCAATCCTAGTCTGGAGAACAAGTGCAAATCATAATTTTACTGTTAGATTATTACCATAAATTAGAAAATGTGTGATGAATATGCATAAGAGGAACTGATTTGATAAAGGTACTATATATTATTTTTCTAATCAGAAAATAGATGTTTTGCAAGTAACTTAAAAGCAAGTGAAGCACTCTCCAAAGTCTGATTGAGATACTCAGTATAAATATCATGTTTAGAAACCATAATGTAGCAATTTTATTTATTAGAATCTTACTTAAATACATTTCCATTCTCTTCTATTGGTACTTAAATACAGTTTTGTATTTAATGAAGGTAAATATATTTACCTGTGGGCTTGTTTTTCACATCAGCTTATACTTAATAATCTTGAAACTTGCTTTTGCCCATGCCTGTTCCTTATACACACCTGTTGCTTATATATTCTGCAACCTTTCCTCTTTGTTACTGCTTTCCTTTCATTGGATGTGATTGGTTCACTGTGGGGTCATTTTAGACTACAGGAAATGTCTGGGTAACGCATGAAGAAATGGAAAATCTTACATCTACACCACAAACGGTTAGTTGTAGAAGTGCTTCTCCTACTTCTTGATTGCTTGAATCATGTACATCCGGAAATATAGAAATATTAATGTAACTAGATTCTTAATTATGATTTATTTTAATGACTAACCCACTTGAAATTCATCAATCATTCTGTAAAATGTTTTTCCACCAAGATCACTGTGGAGGTGAGGGGAAAATAGAATATTTGCCTGTGTATATTTCAAAGAGGTTCAGTGCATTAATTTTTGAACTGTATGAGATGGCACTGCTTAATATTTTCCTCGAATATATATGGGGAGGCTGCTTCTTGTGTGGAAAAATAAAACAGTATATGGTGTCTCAGTTTTCCTGAAGGTATAAAGATATTAAGAGAGATGCATATATGCACAATTTTGAATGCATGGTGCTTGTATCTTGAAATAGCATGTTGCTTTTTTCACTATTGGTATATGTCCACAATCCAGGAGAGTAATTTTACACTCAAAAATATTTCTATTTGGGGCTAGATAAGTACACTTAATAAATCAGAATTCAAGCAGTGATAAAATTTCTATTGAGAAAAACTTTACATGGGTTTGCCCCGTGCTTCCGTTATTTATCTTCTTTGCACACTGGATTATGGCCATTACCTTGAGTTTACTTAAATTACTAAACTTATAAATACTAACACTTGTGTGTCCTTTTACTTCTAATTACCTAACGTCAGGAAGATGAGGAAGGAAGCTGGGCTCAGGTTGGAGACCTTTCTTTTACATCTTAAACTTCAGCTAAAATGTGTTAAATCGTAATTTTCAGTGCTTATTTATATATTTAACAGAATCATGTCAATTAATTCTTCTTTCAAATATTCTTATTCAAAATAATTTTTGAAATATTATGAGACTTAGAAATTGACATTCTGCCTTCCAGTTCATTGACAGATGTTGATTTTTATTTTTATTTTTTTTTTCAAAAATCCACAAAAGTTATAAAAGTATCTCCAAATATCAACACGTATTCTTATTAAGACTGGGGATTAAGATTGTTTAAATAGCTGGAACATCCAGAATCAGATGTTTGACTTCTTTAATAATAGCTTCTACTTATTTTGTAATAGTAGGTGAATGTAAATGATCCACTAGTGTCTACTGTGGTAAATACATGACATGTGAAAAGTTAGTGCATATTTCTAGATAGGAAATGGATGTATATCAGAGAATTGCTGCTTTTGGTGTGCTCTTAGAGGATTTAAAGATATGTATCTCCCATGTGTACTTCACATGTTTATTTTTATGAACACCAGATCATAAAAGTAGTGGGAAGTAGATTTAAATTTTAAGGTGTTAATTTTGCCATGAATGAAACTTCCTGTGTTGACTTTTGGTAGATACAGCAAACTCTCTTGCAAATATTTTTGATCTTTTAAAGTTTTTCTTCTAGCTGAACAGAGGAGAAGGCAATCTTTTTCAATTGTTTTCCCATCCAATCCCATGTACCACCTAAAAATATGCTTCAGAGATTGCTTGCTTAAAGACCAGTATGCTAGGAGCTATAGAGGATTAAAAACTAGAATAATTACCTCTTTCTTTTTGTCAGAGCACTAGAACTCTGCTTAGAGAAGCTCACATCAGCAGAATAAAATGCTGGATTCAGCCCCTGATTTATACGTAAAAGCTCCTTATTTTAAATGACCCTTTGCTGTTTTGTTTTGTTTTTTTTAATAGACTTTAGCCTATGGTGATATGAACCACGAATGGATTGGCAATGAATGGCTTCCTAGTTTGGGGCTCCCTCAGTATCGCAGTTACTTTATGGAATGTCTTGTTGATGCTAGAATGTTGGACCACTTAACTAAAAAAGATCTTCGTGGTCAACTTAAAATGGTAGACAGTTTTCACAGGTAAATATATTTAAAATAGTAATTAATGACAAGAATTTCAGCTGCAGTGCTTAATCTCTTATTCTTTTAACCCTTTTCAAAGAAATAGCTTCCAGTGTGGTATCATGTGTCTCCGAAGATTAAATTATGACCGAAAGGAACTTGAAAGAAGGAGAGAAGGAAGTCTGAATGAAATTAAAGGTAGACTTTTGCTTCTCTGGCTTTGATACTGTTAATAGTTTATTAAATTTTCAACTCGTAGGGCCAAGCCAGTTTGGCATAGCAGTTAAGGTGGTGCACTAGAAACCAGGAGACTGAATTCTAGTTTTCTCTTAGGCATAGAAATTAGTTGGGTGGCCCTGGACCAGGGCCTGTCTCAGTGCCCAACTCACCTCACAGGGTGGTTGTTGTGGGGATAGCACTATGTATGCCACCTTGAGCTATTAAAAAAAAGGGTGGTATATAAATGTAATAAATATAAATATAATAAATAATACAATTATTTTCAGGTTAAGAGACTATGAAGCAAATAAAACCATTCAGACTTATTAATGCCATATAATACTTCCTAAACAATGAAACTTTTCTTCCTCAACTCTGTAACAGCTTTCAGAAAGCTATTAAATGGCAAATAATTACTAATCATAAACAGATACAACTATAGAAATCAAACCTAGCAGAGACACCAACTCAGCATCATGAGTACTGTGATAGCACAATTATACAGTCCAATAATGTCACCAGATATAAGAAATTCATATACTTGTTCAGTATAGCAACATCTCATTACATTTTACAGTGAACACCCTGGCCAATCTCTTTGGATAAAACAGACACATCAGAAATGGCAAAGGTCTAGAGACCTTTTTATTGAGCAATCAGTGCAGCCCAGGTATACAGCCAGAAAGGGAAATTAACACGCACACGGAGCTCCTATCTTTTAAATATCCTTGCCGTCCCTCATACTTTATTCAGTGGCGTCATTCATATAGTCTACAAAGCTAGGATTTTGGTCCTGTGCATAATAGTAAGCCACGATGGCTGGGTTCACACATTATGCTAAGCCCAAACAAGGCTTGGCATGATTGATGAACCAGCATCTAATATACATTAAACTGAACTCTATAAAAAGTTTAGTCTATGAAAACTGTATTAGCAGTACTGTAGTGTGGTTAATGAAACTCTGTAGAATTTGTCAGTTGTAACATTTTTCTTCTGTTGTTAAAATGCAAGTTATAATAAGTGCTGGAAAAGCATTAAACAGCTATAATGTACTAACTAAAACATTTAGTGGCTTTATTCCTTAAATATTTTCACTCCTATTTATAATTGGTGAACTGCAAATTGTGGTTAATACCAAATATCCCATCAAATAAAATGTATACCTTGTGAGCACAAAGTCCTAATGTGTTAGACTATTTTTTCTGAACTTTGATATTCAGTAGAGCAATGACCCACCTACCCATCCGCCCAAAACCCCACATTATATAAATATTGGGCTTTCATTCAGATTACTAGTGAAACTTGTTAAGACTGTCCCACTGGAGGAAGAGAGGAGCTAGTTTTGCCATCTCTTCCCTCTATAACTCCATTTGCTTCTGCAAATTTGCTCTGGAAGTTCAGGAAACTTTCTGGAACAGTGTGGGAATTCCTGGAAGGGGAAATCAGTGAAGGCAGCTGGAGACTCCACTGAATCTTGGCCCCTTGAATAGTATAGAAATCTGAACTCATCCTTAAATCTTTGTCAAGTACATGGGATAACTGTTTTATGACTTAAATATTTATTTTTCCTCATATAGATGTCCTTGTCTGGAGCAATGACAGGATGATTCACTGGGTGGTGTCAATTGGTCTTAAAGAATATGCAAATAACCTTATAGAAAGTGGAGTTCATGGTGCACTTCTGGCCTTAGATGAAACTTTTGATCACAATGCATTAGCTCTTTCTTTACAAATACCCACTCAGAATACACAGGTAATTACAACAACACTTGATGGGATATATTTTTATTCAGAAGGCATGTTTGGAACGTTATAACATTTTATACTGGGGCAATTAGAATTTTTTAAATAGCTGTTTCAAGAAGACTTTTCATACTTCATTTGAACATGCCTGAACTTTACTTTTGGTTATAATGTTTTATGTGAGAGCTGTGACAGTCAA